TTAGGTAACAATAGTCTACAGTGTGTATAGGGATTGGACAGGTAAGGGGGGCTACCCCTCCGTCCCATATCGTGCCTGGTATAACAGTACTTGTCAGCAGGAGCTGAAATGATTGCTTTGCTGTGAATGGTATTCCTATCACCGTGATGCTTGCTCCTGCGTACTCACTCATGTATTGTACATTAGAACAGAGAAGAAGCATGATACTTATCACATGCATCCATACATCCCACTGCCAACAAGCTGGCTTGACAGTGGCGTTGGTATTAAAGTTTGCTTGGCGGTGGGAGGTCATACGATAAGTTTACCAGTAGCTGCTGGTCATGCGCTTTTGAGTCATCTGTTGGAAAAACAGTCGTAGATTTATGTTGATATGTTCTGATAAATGTATCATGTACATTGTATTTCAAGTACTGTATCAAACAACTGCACAGGACGAAAGTTTTCGGTGGCATCTAGATATCAGTCATCTCCCTAAGCATTTGAACATTCCAGGCCTCCACGCTCATGAATGCTCTCGCGTCCCGGAAGAGATAATGGTTGTTCTTAAGATGTCAGCCCCACTTTTTCCTATAATTTCTAAAATAAGCAAGATGACACAAGCTAATGAGGACCTTGGCAAGTGTCAGCTTAGCTTATGAGACAGATCCATCACAAAGGGGGGACAGCTGCCCCCTTGAAGTGATCCCCTTTTCTCATCAGCCAGCTTGGAGCACCTTGGTGCAACTCCCTCCTTCTAACCCCCCGTTCTTTTAGAGAAGTGCAATCTTCAAGTCTTATCGTTCGTGTCAGACCACTGCAAAAGCCCTGTCCTTATTTCCGTCTCCTGTTGTGCCTTGTCTCCAGGGTTTCCCTACCCCATGTGGCTCCCCTTCACTATGAGTGCTCTGCTCCCCGTCCCCTTCCCCCTCAATGGCACATGACTGCGAGCTGGTACCACTGGTTTCCGAAGCAGGCCGGGCCGGGTAATTAGTCGGGACCTTTGGGTTCTGCCAAGCGGGCCTTATCTTAATTGGAACTTTCCCTGTGAATTTCCTGCTTCTGTGTAAGCGGTGGCGCAACTTCTGCAGATGCCAAGTGCATCGCGCTTGGCAGTACATGTGTGGTGCGTCCACAAGCTCCCCAGGCTGTGCGCCCAGGGTTCAGTAGATTGGGGGGGAGGGTGCTGTGCGAAGAAGTACGGTAGCCAGGCAAGCTCAGCTGGGATACAGTCCTAGAGCAAACTCCTTGGTGATGAAAACAGGTAACTTCCTTGTACATGTAGCTGCCTAATGCACATACATGTTCTGGTATTTTATGAAAAGGTATGTAGAAAAACATGTACGGTACTTCCAACGTACCCCATAAACTCACCAAGAAACTTAAAGTTTAGAGGACGAGAAGTTACCCACATGCCTGTGTACATGTGTACAATGTTTGTCCCTCCCCTGATGGTCTATAGAGTGTACATGTATACGAGCGCTCTTACATTAGGGGAGAACAAAAAGAGAAACGACAGCCCCCGTCTCCTCTTGTCACCTTTTTAATTTCATTGTGATCATTTGGCTTTGAAGTTTCCAGTTTTGGGCTGTCCAAGCATCTTTTGTAAATTAGACATTTCCATGTTTTAATGATAATAGACTATAAATAGACCCCAGGGATCAGCGGGAGGAATTGTGGCGGCAAAAGGGTGTGAGGGAGACCCTGACCCCCTGTCAAGTTGTAGAGAGGGGGATTGTGATCCAAATGATGACGTGTAATCTTGGAAAAATCTGGAAGAGGATCAAGAAAATTGTTACTTTGTAAAAGTCTTAGAGTTAGACTTTTGGTTGCCAAGTTTGGGTATTATTTGTTGTAATTTTTTTCCGCAGGAGCAACTGAAATGTGAAGAAACTGTTAATTTGCTGAGTCCTTAACTCTAGAGCTGGTGCGGCACCTTTTAGGACGCTGCGCAGTGGGTTGGGAGGGGGGTTGAATCTTAGATGTCCCATGTCTGGTCTTTTCGAAACTTGGCTTGGCTGTAAAGACATTCATTATTAGCATGTGTGAAGTTTCAAATCAATCCAACATA